CTGGGGGCCTTTCGGGGCCATCTTGGAGCCATCTTGGGGCCATCTTGGGGCCTCTTAGGGCCTCCTGGTCGTCTCTTGGGGCCATCTTGGAGGAGATCGATCAGAGAAGGGGGAGTTTCAATTTAATTAGCTTCCCCCCTCGGGAGCCCCCAGAATCACCTCTTGGGCTCCCCTTGGAGCGCTCTTGGAGCGCTCTTGAGCGCTCGTGGGGCCGTCTTGGGGCTCTCTGGGGCTTCTCTTAGGGCCCCTCATGGGCCCTCTTGGAGCTGTCTGGAGGCCTCGGAAGGTAATCGGAGGCGAGAAGGCACATTTCATAGATTTTCTTACGGTTTTTCCCCACCTGTTTCGTGGGGTTCTGGTTTTCATCCCTGCCGCGTCGCACCCGCGTCTCCCGCACACACACACACCTCCCCTTCCTCCTCCTTCCTCCCCTCCTCCACTTACTTCCTCCCTTCACCCGCACGCAACCCATGCACGGTACGTGCATCAGACACGCGTCTACATGCAGCCGCACGCATGCACACACTCGCACACACAACATACACTACATAACGCTGCTGCACGCCTGGCGTGCTCACTGCATCATACACTCAGGACGTATGCACAATATACTGGGCTTCCACACATGAGACACGTCCCGATACGGCCACACAAGCATCATCCACATGGGACGCACGCTAACATACAGCCGCGCACGCATCATACACATGACACGCACACCACGCAACGCATGCGCGACAATAAGAGGCGCGGCACTTTCTCGACACCAGAGGGGGGGCGCAGGGGGTGCCAGGGTCGGAAAGTGTGGCAGGTGTGCCACTTTGTCGCCACCAGGGGGGGTGCGCAGGGGGTGGTCCCTCAGCGCAGCCTCTATGCGTGCCAGCGTCGGAAACCGTGGCAGGCGTTGCACTTTCTCTACACCCAGAGGGGGTGCGCAGGGGGTGGTCCCATCGGCGCTGGCTCTATGCGTGCCAGGGTCGGAAAGCGTGGCGGCGTTGCATTTTCTCTACGCCAGGGGGTGCGCAGAGAGTGGTCCCTCAGCGCGGCCTCTATGCTTGCCAGAGTCGGAAAGTGTGGCACGTGTGGCATTTTCTCCACACCAGAGGGGGTGCGCAGAGAGTGGTCCCTGCGCGCGTCCCCTATGCGTGCCAGAGTCGGAAAGCGTGGCAGGCGTGGCACTTTGTCGCCACCAGAGGGGGTGCGCGGGGGGTGGTCCCTCAGCGCGGCCTCTATGCGTGCCAGGGTCGGACAGCGTGGCAGGCGTTGCACTTTCTCGACACCAGAGGGGGGGCGCAGGGGGTGGTCCCTCAGCGTGGCCTCTATGCGTGCCAGGGTCGGAAAGTGTGGCAGGCGTGCCACTTTGTCGCCACCAGAGGGTCAGCGCGGCCTCTATGCGTGCCAGGGTAGAACAGCGTGGCAGGCATTGCACTTTCTCGACGCCACAGGGGGTGCGCAGGGGGTGGTCCCTCAGCGCGGACCCTATACATGCCAGGGTCGGAAAGCGCGGCAAGCGTAACACTTTCTCGACACCAGAGGGGTGCGCAGGGGGTGGTCCCTCAGCGCGGCCCCCATGCGTGCCAGGGTCGGAAAGCGTAGCAGGCGTCGCACTTTCTCGACACCAGAGGGGGTGCGCAGGGGGTGGTCTCTGAGCGCGGCCGCTATCCGAGCCGATCGTCCAGGGCATAGCAGGCGTGGCATTTTCTCGAAGCCATACGGGGTGCGCAGGGGATGGTCTCTGAGCGTGGTCGCTATCCGAGCCGGTCGTCCAGGGCATATCAGGCGTGACATATTCTCGACACCATAGGGGGGCGCAGGGCGTGGTCTCTGAGCGCGGCCGCTATCCGAGCCGGTCGTCCAGGGCATAGCATGCGTGGCATTTTCTCGACGCCATAAGGGGGGTTGCAGGTCGTGGTTTCTGAGCGAGGCCGCTATCCGAGCCGGTCGTCCCGGGCGTAGCAGGCGTGGCATATTCTCGTAACCTTAGGTGGTCCGCAGGTACCATAAGGGGGTGCGCAGGGAACGGCCACCAACTTCATTCTCACATGCTCCACTTCAGCTATCATCACTCCGGCCATAATATAAGTATTTGGGGTTCCTTGGTAGCGTAATTGAAGGATTTTGGCTTCTTGGCGGCCTCCTGGGGAGGCTCCGTGGCCGCTCGGAGCCGTTTTGAAGCGGTCTTGGGGCCTCTTGGAGCATCTTGGGGGCCATCTTGATGTATCTTGGGATATTTTGGGCAATCTTGGAGGTCATCTTAGGCTGTCTGAGGCCCTCTTGGAGCCATCTTGGGCCATCTTGGACGCTCCACCGACCCGCGAAACGCCCCGTCCAGGTCCAGGGGAGGGGGTAAGGGGGAGGGGTAAACCCATCCCCGAAGGGGAAGAGGGAGGGGTGGAAGAGGAAACGCCCTAAACCACCTACGCCCAGAGGGCTGGTGGGATTCTTGCCCGTCACTGGTCGCCTGGCACATCCACCTCCCTGCTCGTTCGGGGCCTAGCCTGTGGAGGCCTCCAAGGTCCCCAGAGGTCTTTGTGGAGGCTCACTGAGCCTCCAGAGGCTCCTGGAGGCCTGAGAGGGGCCAGAACATGAACAGCCCTCGACGACGACGACTCTTGAGCTCCAGGCCTCCTAAACGGGGTCGGAGTAGATGAGGTCAGAGGATCGCGCCGCATCGCCGACGCAGAGAAGGCCCGAACACGCACGAAACCCTCGGGTGCCCAGTCCTCGACGACGACAGCTCGGGCGGGGCGAGGGCTGGGACAAGTATCTATCCAGTGCGTTCCAGAACGCTCTCAGAGCGTTCTAGAGCGCTCTGGGACGGCTGCGGCGCCCCATACTTCCTCCAGACCCGCTAGGTCTCAGAGATCCCCGATTTATCCTGGTCCGATTTTGTCTCGGCCCAGGCCTCGTCTCAGGCTTCCTGGCCGAGCTTTTTGGCCCAAAGGAGCGCCGGCCCATGGCCGCCCTCTGAGGCACGCCTCGCGCGCGCGGGCGCGCCAGCCAGGCCGATGGCGGGGGGCTCAGCGGCCGGCCAGGCGTCGTCGTTTTTCGGGCGGGCGGCAACTGGGGGGCAATCAACGCAGGGAGCATCGAGGATTGCAGGACGCTGGCCCGAAAGGGCCTTGAGGGGCTCCTGACCTGCCACTGCGGTCCCAAGAGGTGCACGAAAGGTACGCCTTTCCTCCCCAGACAAAGGGCGACTGCTGGTCGTCGTGTCGTGTGTACACTATTGCACCAGTCCTCTGCCTGAAGACCCAGCTGCGGGGCTTTCATGCCGTGCGAGACAAAAAAGAAAGAGGTGCACGTTTCTTCACCCCACGTTCATTGCCCCTCTGTTCACGAACACCCGAATCATTTTCAGGCCGTCGTCTCGGGGCGCACGCAACGGATGCTGGCCCGGACCTGGTCGGCCGAGGCAGGCGGCAAGGTCCAGGCCACCTGCAGGGGCGCGAGAAGGTAGTCGCGCTGCGCGTGTCGCGGCCTGCGCCAAAACGGTGGCCCTTCCCCAGAGGTGGCCTCGCGTGGGCGCGAGGGTGCGAGGATGATGGCGCGTCGCGTATCGCGGGGCGCGAGGGCGCGTAGTCGGGTGCTCCAGAGTACCCGGGCGTGCAGACCAGGCGAAGGCTGCTGAGGCCAGTCGCCGCAACAAGAGAGAGAGAGAGAGAGAGAGGCAGGCCTCGGAAGCAGCAGCAGAGGAGCAGCCAGGAAGTTCCGCAGACCGCGCGGGTGGGCGGCCTGGCCTGAGCGCACATATCGATGGTTCTCAGAACGTGTGTTGGCCCTCTGTGGGTTTGCCCCGTTCAGTCCCGCCGACAGCACGCAGCTTGTGTCGGTTCTCATTCAAGCGCCTGCGTCGTATTGGAGGGCTTCGGTGGGCAAGCACGCGTTCGTGCTAGCACACGTTCTGAGGATCATCGAACGCAGGAGAGCCCAGGGAGGCAGTGGGTCGGTCAGGGGGTGGACCCACTCCGGGGCAACGTAACAGGAGGGGGGACAGGCTCAGGCGGGGTTTTCGAGGTTCGACGTTTTCGGACGTTTGAGATGGTTCTCGGAGGTTCTCCAGCTTCGGGCTGGTTTCCAGCAGCTGAGCCTCGCCAAGGGCGTTCTGGGGGTGCCCGAATCGTCCCGAACGGCTGCCGGACACTCGAGTTATGATCGGCAAGCGAACGTTCGGGGGGGATAGGCACAGGGGGGAATGAATTGACCCTTAATCGCCCATGCATCGCCGATGGGGGCCTGCTAGCCCGCCCCGCCCAGCAGCGTGCGGATTCGCTATCGGGGCTCTATCTCCGATCAGTTGGCGATGTATCGTTCCAGCTCACTCTTTCTTCCCCTGAGCCAGTGTCCCCCCCTAACGTTTGCCCTCACCCATACTGCTGTGGCCTCGATTTCTTCAGAATCGTCGCCCTCCGGACCTCTGGACCCTCTCCCTGGGGCTGTCCGATTCCGATCTGCTGTTTTTCGTATATAATCCCGGGGCCCGAGACCAGTTTCGAGAAGCCCAGAACGGCGAAGAGCTTCCGTATTGGGTTTTCGGAATGCTGGGTGCTTGGGCCAGAATTTTACCAGACTTTTGCGTAGAGGACAATCGGGTCCCTGACAGTCCTGCGTTTTTCCAAACATTATATTTCTGGAACGTTAGCAATGGGAATCCTTGAAAAGCTTGCGAATTTTGGCCTCGAATGTGCGCGTGAGTAAGGCGAGAACCGCATTTTGAAAAATCCGTGAAACTCGTGGAACCTTTTGAAACGAATGTGCGCGGCGCTAAGGCGACAGCCACATTTTGAGAACGGGCAGCCCTGCATGTATGAAGCTGCTGTCAGTTTTTCACCTGGAGGATTATAAGTGAAGTCTCAGGCGAAAGGCCCAGCCTGCCTTTTCGACCGGCCTCGGGGTGCGACCAGGAGGAGGCATTTGTAAGGAAAAGGAACGGAGGATGAGGCGGAGGTCTCTCGCCGCCCCGCTCGGCTCGGATGCCTCGCGGGCCGAGCGCGGCTCAGGCAGAGGAGCGGGATCCGAAGGACGAGGACGAGGCCGAGGCCGAGGCTGGGAGCCACTGCCCCGCTCGCGCGATCGTAATATGTGAATTGCAATCGGAAAAGGGGTACCAATAAGCCTGGGTATTGGGGGGGGGAGAGTCTATTTTCTTTTTAGAAAGGAGATTCTACGCGACGGCGACGGCGGCAAGCGACGGCGACGGCGGCGACGGCGGCGACGGGCGGCACCGCCGGCAAAAGGCGCCACCCGCCCCGAGTGGCGGCGACGGCGCGGCGACGGCGACGGCGACGACGGGCTTCACAGCTCGCAAAAGCCGGCACTCACCACGAGATGGTTGAGCCAAGTGAAACCCTCTAAGTGCAAGCACTGTTTGGGGAACATGCGTACATCCATCTATCCATACAGACATACATACAGACATACATCCATCCATACCTACCTACCTACATACATGCATACATACATACATACATCCATACTTACACGCATGCGCACATATACATACATGCGTCCATGCATGTATGCATACACGCGTGTCTACATACATACATATACGTGTGTATATATAGATATATGAGAAAACACATACGCATACACACATGCACATACATTCACATCCACATCCACATCCACATCCACATCCACATCCACATCCACATCCACATCGACATCCACATCCACATCCACATCCACATCCACATCCACATCCACATCGACATCCACATCCACATCCACATCCACATCCACATCCACATCCACATCCACATACACATACATACACATACACATACACATGCACATACTCACACACATTCATATACACATATTCAAGCACATACACATACACATACACATACACATACACATTTACATACTTTTATAGTAGAAGCAAGAGCAGGAGAAAGAGGCAGAGGAGAGCAGGAGGAGGGGGAGCAGAGGGAGGGGGGGAGGAGGAGGAGGAGGAGGAGGAGGAGGAGGAGGAGGAGGCGGAGGGAGGAGGAGGAGGAGGAGGAGGAGGAGGAGGAGGAGGAGGAGGAGGAGGAGGAGGAGGAGGAAGAGGAGGAGGAAAACGAGGAGGCCAGAGGCTTTCTTGGGACAGCCTGGGGCTCTCTTGAGGCCGTCTTGGGCTGTCCAGGGCTCCTCTTGCGCCGTCTCGAGGCACTCTTGGAGGCTTCCTGGGCAATTTGTGGCTCTCCTGGGCTGTCTTGGGGCAATCCTGGAGGCTTCTTTGGGCCGTCTTGAGCTGACGGAAGCCCGAAGCCCGAAGGTTGAGTCCTCAGGGGTGCTTCTTGGGGTCTCTTCCGAGCGCTCTTGAAGGCCTCTGGGGGGCAGTTTGGGGGCCCCTTCGGAGCCTTTTGGGGCCTGTTGGGGCTTCTTCGGGGCCTCTTGGGGACCTCTTGGGGCTGAGGGCTCGAAATGTCCGTTCGGGTTCCCCGTCTGGGCACTCCTGGAGCCGTCTTGGGAGCCCCTGGCTCCTTGGACGCCGCGTGCGCCACTGGCACTGCCGGCGCTGCCAGCGCTGGCTGCCAGCTCCGCGGGCGCCGCTGGCGTCTCGTGCGCTGCGGGTGCCGCCGGCGCCGCTGGCGCCGCGGGCGCCGCGGGCGCCTCTTGGGCCGTCTTGGAAGCGTCTTGGGCCGTCTTGGGGCTCTCTTCGGCCGTTAGGGGACCTTGGGGGCCTCTTGGGCCGTCTCGGAGCGATCTTCGGGGCCTCTTGGGTCGTCTTGGCGCGTCGGGAAGCGGAAGAGGAAAGAGCGCCAACATCTTTCAAAAACGTATGGGAAATCCATGAATTTTGCCTCTTGGGGCTCTCGTGGGAAAGCTCCTGGAGGCCTCTTGGGGCGCTTTGCAGGCCTCTTGGACCGTCTGGAGGCCGTCAAGGTGTCTTGGACAGATCGTTCGGCGCCCCCCGGGACCCCGGGACCCCCCCCGAGACCCCCCTCGGGCCCCCCCCCCTGCGGGGAAGGGGTCGAAGGGAAGGGGCTTCCCTTCGACTCAATTACGACGTTGCTCAACTTCGCTTTGGCTGGCGCGCTGAGGAGGTCCCTGGGAAAGGGGGGGAGCTTCGACGAGCCCAGGGAAAGGGGGGGGCAGGGAAAGGGGACGACAGACGACGACCAACGAATGACGGAGATGACGACTTGAACGGACAAGCCCCTCGTACACGCCAACAGCGTCGGCGGATTTATGTACGCACGTACGTACGTACGTATGTTTATGCATATGCACATGTACATGTATATGTATTTTTGTATAGGTATATGTATATGTACATGTATGTCTGTATGCATATGTATATATATGTGTATATGTATATGTATAGGTACCTGTATAAGTATATGCACATGTATTTGACTATGTATATGTAGGTGTATATGTATACGTATACGTATACGTATACGTATATGTATGTTTGCATGCATGTATGTATGTATGCAAGCCTGTCGGTCTGTCTGACTGCCTGTCTGCATGCATTTATGCATGCATGCATGCATGCATGCATGCATGCATGCATGTATGTATGTATGTATGTATGTATGTATGTATGTATGTATGTGTATATATATGTATGTGTATATGTATGTGTATGTGTATACGTATATGTATATGTATATGCATATGCATATGCATATGTATATATATATGTATATATGTATATACGTATGCATGCGTGTATGTGTATACATATACATATACATATATATGCATGTCTGCACGCATACATGCATGTACGCATGTATGCGTGCATGCATGTATGTATTTATGCATGCATGCATGCATGCATACATGTATGTATGCATGTGTGCATGTATGTATGTATGTATGTATGTATGCATGCATGCATGCATGCATGTATGTATGCATGCATGCATGCATGCATGCATGCATGTGTGCATGCATGTATATATGTATGCATGTATATATGCATGCATGCATGCATGCATACATGTATTTATACATATATATATACATCTATATATGTACGCATGCATGCACGCACGCACGCACGCACGCACGTACGTATGTATGTACGTATGTATGTATGTATGTATGTATGTATGTATGTATGTGTATGTATGTATGTATGCATGCATGCATGCATGCATGCATGCATGCATGCATGCATGCATGCATGCATGCATGTATGTATATGTATATGTATATGTGTGTCTGTGTGTGTGTGTGTGTGTGGGCCTGTCTGTATGTATGTTTGTGTATCTAAATGCACACACAATATAAAGTACCGTTCCCCCCTCAGGGCCCCGCCCACCTCCAGAAGATCTTCGGCAAATCCCCCGTACCGCTCTTCCGGGCTTCTCAGGGAGCCTCAGGGAAGCTTCGGGACGGCCCACGATGGGCCCAAGAGTGCTCCCAGCGGCCCACGACAGCCCGCCGACGGCGATCAAGGACACCGAGAGCGTACAAGAGAGTGCCAAGAGGCTCCCAGAGGCCCCCAACACTTTCCATGACAGGCCCACGGAAGCCCTTTAGAAGCCTAAATCACAAAACACCGACGGAACATTTGGATTTTCCCGTCTTCGCATTTTCACCTCCGATGCGTTTCTGAGGCTCAGGCAAGGGCCCCAAGAGAACCCCAAGATGGCTCCCTGAGGCGCCCCGAGTGGCCCGCAGGGGCTCCCAGCAGCCCCCTCTGAGGACCCAAGCAGGCCCCTACCCGAAGACCCCTGGAGGTGCCCAAGAGGCCCCCAATCGAGCCTCAAGAGGAACCAGAGCGCCCCACGAGGCTCCCAAGAGAGCCTCCGAAGGCTCCCACGAGGGACCCAGGAGGTACCATCAAAACCGCGTTTTGATGATGTCGCCCGGTCCCTACTACACCCCGAAGACTCCCCAGGAGGCGCCCAAGAGGCCCCCAAGGAGCCTCAAGAGGAGCCAGGCGCCCCACGAGCCTCCAGAGGCCACGGGGGACTCAGGAAGTATCATCAAAAGCAGCGTGATACCGCCTGGGCGTTTTCGGGAACAGCATCGAGACAGCCGACAGGCTCCCAAAGACGGCTTCATGACAGCCCCGATGAGCCCCCAGGATGCCCTCAAGAGGTCACAGAGGGAGGAGGCGGATGAGGAGGAGGAGGAGGAGGAGGAGGAGGAGGAGGAGAAGGAGGAGGAGGGGGAGGAGGAGGAGGAGGAGGCGGAGGAGGCGGAGGAGGAAGAGGAGGAGGAGGATGAAAAGGAGGGGGAGGAGGAGGAGGAGGAGGAGGAGGAGGAGGAGGAGGAGGAGGAGGAGGGATAGAGTGTGATTCAAGCTCGCTCCCATGAAGAGAGAGAGAGAGAGAGAGAGAGAGAGAGAGAAAGAGAGACCCGAAGAGGTTTCCCCAGAAAGCTTAGACGGGGCCCAGAGGCTGCGCACCTGTTCCTTTCTCCCTGTTTGCCCTCTCTGTTTGTATTTATCCCTGCCGCCGCCGTTTATTCTCGAAAAGGGCCCTTGGCCTCAGAGTTACGCAGATTGATCGAGCAACGCTCTCTTTCGACTAAAAGATTGCCGCGCCGCGCGCGCCATCCATATCACAGTGGTAGCTGGGAGCTGTGCTCGCTGCCCCGGCCTGTGGGCCGTACATATCACAACGGCGACGTCTGCGACCCGTCCGGCGGAATCGAAGCCCAGCGGCTTCTTCCTGCTGTTGCTCAGCGCCTACGCCAGCGTCTGCGACGCCAGCACCAACTCCAGCGTCGTCGACACCAGCACCAACGCCAACCCTGCCAACTCCAACGCCAGTGTCTGCGACGCCAGCGCCTACGCCTTCAGCTACTACACCTCCAACAGCAGCGTCAGCGACGCCGCCACATACTACATCTCCAACAGCAGCGTCAGCGACGCCGCCACACACTACATCTCCTACGTGACCTATATCTTCGACGACAGCTATTCCCCCAGCTCTTTGTCTCAGGACCGCGTCTTCAACGACGCCTGCTACGATAAGCCTCATATCAGTAGCGTCAGCGACGCCGCGCACTACATCTCCTACGCGAGCGTCAGCGACGCCGCGTACTACATCTCCAACGCCAGCGTCAGCGACGCCGCACGCTACATCTC